TGAGTAGAACGGAATCTGACAGATCCCATAACACCGTTGAATGGGATTAATGTGCTCCAAACCAGAGTTCATAGACGTATGCACGATGCATAGCGTGTGACTCCTCGGCAAATCTCTTCCGGCCATAGTCTGAGTAGAAGGCCAACACGAGTTGGTTGTTGGCGGGCGAGAGCGTGACTGGGGTCTCCACTGCGGAGTTGGTTCCTTTTAACTAGTAGTGCCAACCAATCCGGACATTAGGAAATGCCCTTCGCAGCCTTGCAAGGCTGGGCACGGGAGCTTCCATCATCCTAGGTCCCTAATTTATTAGGATTAATTTGAGCCGGGAGAGATAAGACGCTCAGTCGCCCATGGATGGGGGCGGATGTCGTGGAGATTACGAAAAAAGAAAGATCCATGAATGGGGCCTCTGCACTTAAATTTCTCGAGATCGAAGAACCGACCCTTCTGCAGGTGGCACAGTACTGTAAATATGCTTCGCGTGGGGCCTCACAGATCTTGTCACGGTGAGCGCCATGTGGTCGACTCTGGAGTGAGTTGAGAGAGGAAGAGAATGACGAGGAGTTGCAGATTGATGCAGTAGATAGGTCTCGATTCACGGCACTAGTATCGATTTTCCTTCGTGGACCAAATTCTGGGACCTGTAACACGTACTACTTCTGAGGACAACTTATACCTGAGGTATCCATGGATTGTACGGGGGGTAGTGGGAGTTCCTCCTACGTATATATTCGGGAATCCTGCCGTTCTCAGGTACAGGAGGTAAGGGGAAAACATACGTAATTCACCAACTGCGATCGGGAACGGTGCTACTGAGTAGTGGTATTGTGGGTATAATACCGGTAAAATTTCCAGCCTGGTGGAGTGCGTCCGCCCGCCAAGACCAAAAATTGTTCGCTCCGCGAATAAGCCGGTGGGCCCGTGACTTGCCAATCCCCGCCAGTATCTCCTCTCAGCCGCGGATCTGATTTGCTTTCTTCCCTGCAATCTTCGCCGCCCAGAGCAGAGGATCTACCCACGCTTTCCAGAACTGAGCGCAGTATTACATACCGAAGACACTACCTCCTCCTCCAGATCAAATCAAGCGCCAGGATGATGGTCTTGGCCTGGGTCACGGTCTTGGTCTTTGTTTCTTGAATTTTCTCTTCCTCGTTTCTCTGGAGTGCCCAGAGTCTTGTCCTGCCTCTGGTCATTTCTTGTCTTCGCTTGTCCTTCGCTTGTCTCTTTCTTGTCTTCTCTTGTCCCGTTTCTTTTCTCTCGGTATCTGTTCCTTCTATCCTGCTTCCTTTTTGTTCCCTCCAGAAGGCATCTCCTGGTTGGTACACCATTTGGAGTGTATATCCCATATACTACTGGTCGTTCTGCTCAGCCGGAATAGTAGTAGTTGCCCAATCTGGTAAGTCTCTGCCCTCTCCAATCAAACTGTTTTCCTTCTTCCCTTCACTTGGCACTCGAATCAACTCTGGTTCCTACCTATCTCCGCCCCTTTTTTTTCCCTTTGAATATTCTATTTTCCTGTTCGATTTGATATTCTCCAGCTCTGTGTTTTTCTGCCAATCGCATGTATTCCCTCAATTAAGCGTTTTCACCCTTACAGGACGCAGCAAGGGAAGGCACGTTGGGAGAAAAAGTGTCCGCCCTGCTTTCGCCCGCCTCATCCGTCATCGTTTCGGACTTAACACCCCTCCCCGAGTTATGCCGAGAGCGTCGGTTTCACCATCTCACGAGGCGCATTTCTATTGACTGAGTACCTCGCGGTCCGATCGGTCGGAAACCCTTTGCGATAGTTCCTTTTTACATAATAATTAAAAAGGAACACCGGGGAAGGCATACAGAAATCAGCCAAGGGTCGCGGAAGGACACACAGACAACGGTCGCGGTCGCGGTCGCAGTCCCCGGACACCTTTCAACATCATGGCATGGGATCATTTGGATATAGATAAGCCGCATCTGGCCTACATGATCCTGGGCGGTTTCACCGGCCTGTTCATGCTTTGCTCTCTCTTCGTCAAGGAGAAGCTGTACATCGGCGAAGCAACTGTCGCTACTCTATGCGGGATCATCTTCGGGCCACATGCGGCTAATCTCTTCAATCCCCACGAATGGGGAAATATTGATAAGATCACTCTTGAGTGCTCTCGTATCGTTTTGGTCGTACAATGTTTCGCTGTCGGTGTCGAATTGCCGAAATCATACATGAACCGTCATTGGAAGTCCGTCTTCTTACTGCTGGTGCCGGTCATGACTTGGGGCTGGCTTATTACCAGCTTGTTCATCTGGTGGATGGTTCCTCCCCTCAGCTGGCTGGAGAGTCTTGTATGCGCCGCTTGTGTGACAGCCACAGATCCCGTGCTGGCGTCTTCGGTCGTCGGTAAAGGTAAATTCGCCAAGCGTGTGCCTAAGCATTTGCGAGACCTGCTGTCGGCCGAGTCTGGCTGCAACGACGGTATGGCTTTTCCGTTCATCTACCTATCCTTCTACATTTTACGTTACCGCCCAGACGCGGGCAAAGTATCTCTTCACTGGTTCTGTGTCACAATCTTATACGAGTGTATCTTTGGCGCCGTCTACGGTTTCCTCATTGGTTATTTCGCCCGCCATGCCATCAAATTTGCCGAACGCAAACAGCTGATTGACCGTGAAAGCTTCCTCGTCTTCTACTTCGTGCTGGCGGTCTTTTGCGCCGGCTCTGGGAGCTTGTTGGGCATGGACGACCTTTTGATAGGTTTCGCGGCAGGTGTTGGCTTCAGTAACGATGGATGGTTCACGGAGAAAACCGAAGAGTCTCACGTATCCAACGTTATTGACCTTCTACTGAACTTGGCGTATTTCGTGTACTTTGGATCCATTATCCCCTGGGAAATGTACAACGCACCGGAGCTCGGCCTTGTCCCATGGAGGCTTGTTGTGATCGCCATCTTGGTCATCTTTTTCCGCCGAATCCCCATCATGTTACTTCTAAAACCAATCATACCGGATGTGAAAACTTGGCGTGAGGCCCTCTTCGCTGGTCATTTCGGACCCATTGGTGTCGGTGCCATCTTCGCCGCCATCTTGGCTCGAGCTGAATTAGAAACAGACAGCACGCAGCCCCTGGCGGAGGCGGAGCTACCAAAAGCGGGTATGGCCGATTATTACATCGTCCAACTTATCTGGCCCATCACAACTTTTATGGTCATCTCGTCCATCTTAGTCCATGGTTCTTCGATTGCTGTGTTCACGCTAGGAAAGCGCATCAACACACTGACCATCACGCTGTCTTACACCACCGCAAATGATGAGGGTCCATCTTGGATGAATCGTTTGCCTCGTGTGCAATCTATAGCCAAAGGCTCCATGTCCTTCCGGAAGCCGGATGACACAGATGCGTCTTCGAATGAGCAGGAGTATCCCCCGGGTACTCTTCCCCCGATCGGAGTTCCTGGTAATTTCCTGCGTCGGGTTCGGGACGAAGATACGGAGTCACCTGCCGGTAGGACGTCAAGTCGGAGACCCCGCAGACGCCGTCGACATGCTTCTGGAGCGGGTGGCCCAATCAGTCAGTCAGCGATTGCACCCCAACGGACTGTGGAAAGTGAAAACGCAGAGGAGGAAGAGGAGCGCGACAAAATTGAACGGGAAAGCTCGCCACCATCCAAAGAACGAGATCAGTTCGGACGAGAACCGATTGTGGAGGCTTATCTGGAAGGCCATCATATGATCATTGAAGATGAAGAAGGAAATGTTCTGAAGACAGAAGATGTTAGTCACATAACGCCCGAGGAGCGACAGCGACACATCGAAGCACAGCGTGATAGGCTGCTGCAGGACAAGTCGGGAGAGTTTGCCAAGTCCCGGAGCCAGCCACACGCAAGGTCAGAGGGGGAGGAAGTCGAAGAAGCTCTAGAAGAGAAGACTGGCCACCCCCTTGAAAAGGTTCGCAAGCGGTTTGGCCAGTGGATTGGACTCGGAAAGGGTCGCGCTCAAGAGGCGGATGATCAAGAAGCCGAGAAGGCTCCGGAGACAGAGCAGCAGGCTGTTACCGCTGCTAACAAGAAACCTAAGGGCAAGTCTCGCTCAGCTCATGCATATCAGTTCGGTAACACCATCATCGTCGAGGACGAGGATGGAGAGGTGATCAAGAAGTACTCTATTCCTTCAACCGACAAACCGGAGACAGGAGCGCCTGTCCGGCGTGGATTGACCCGCATGGGAACCTGGTTCGGCATGGACGGTGAAGGAGAGCCGTCGCAGGCAGAGAAGAAGACAGCGGATGATGACTGGCTAACGGACGACGGTCTCCGATTCACCGTGGCTGACGATGACGACATTGGTAAGAAGGGCGTTGGCCACAAGGGTCGCAGGATGAACAAGCATGAATTCGTCCAGCAACTGCGCAATCTTGGTCCCAGAGCGCGTCGCGATCTGGTGGAAGAGACAGATGCACCCCAGCATGTCAAGGAGGTCGCCCGGGACGAAGCTCGGAACGCGGAGCGCAAGGAGTCTCTTGCTGGTGATGCTACCAGAGACACACGACATGAAAAAGCAACACCTGCCCGAGCTGCATCTGTATCGAGCAGTGAGTCAAGCAACGGGTCTGATATAGGGGTGCCTGGCGACAACATTGCTGCTTCATTGGCCCGGTTCACCCGTGGCACGGCTGCAGAGGAGCGTCGCAGTACTCTCGACCCCTCTCGCCCTCGCTCACGCAGAGACTCTGAAGACGATGGCACTGAGCGTGTGCCTCCGGCTCAACTTCGAGAAATAGCTGGCCTGTCGCGTCCACCTCAACAAGATGACGACGACACGGGAGAAACACCTGCGGAACGCCGTCGTCGTCTCGCCGCTCTTGGTGAACTGAACTCGGATGATTCCGATGAGTCGGATGCCGCGGTGGAATCTGATAGCGATGACAACACGGGGTTCCGTCGTGTCGGTAGCAAAGTCCAGTTCGTAGAAGGGACGAAGCCCTCCGATAGTGGAAATGGAAGTAACACCAACCAAGGGAACGGTTCGAGTTCCTCGAGCTCCGCGCATCAGCGCTCAATCTCATGGGGAGGAGAGAAAGGCCGGGAGGCTTAAGGAAACCTGACCGGCTCATACCCCCACAAAAAAAAATGAAATGAAAATGAAAATTCGACCACGAGGCATGCAGAGGGCTAGTGATTCTTTCAAAGCAAGAAAAGAAAAAAAAGAACATAAAAGAAATTGAGAAGAGGACGGTGGGAAGCGAACAATTGCGGTGTGACCAGAAACCAAGCAATTAGAAACGAGACAAGAGACAAGAGACAAGAGATAGAAGTGGAAGCAGAAGCGGAAGCAGAAGCGAAGCAATAATCCTGCGGTCTGAAAACAACCACAAGATAGATTCCAGGGTTTATCATATCGTCGTCTGGGTGGCTGATCAGCTGTCCCCTTTTCTTTTTATTTCTTTCTGCATTCTTGAGCGCCTGTTGCATGTGTTGTGCATGTCTGCTCATGTTGTGTATAGAGCTTTCTGATTCAGTGTAACTTAATTATTCAACTAGTATTTTCTTTCTGGTATCATTCGTTCCCAGGTGTAATTATTTGTCTGGTCAATATCCAATTATATCGTTTTATTGCGTGATCTTCTTTGATTATTGTACTTGTCACACAAGGGCGGCTGCGGCTCTATTTTTAACTCAGGGTATATACAGATTGGACATTGGCTCACTTGACGCTATTTCCTTGGCTAGGTTTCGTAACCATTTCCCCAATAGTAGACCATCTTGAAAGATAATTATATCACAGTCATCTTCATAGAGACGGAATATAATATAAAAATGTACATACATGTGTAGAAGAATTCCGCTGTTTCCTTCAACAGAAGTGGATTCTGACAATGTTCCCGGTCAAATATAGTATTGTTTCATATATGATAGGATATGATATGGTATAGTGTGATAATACATCAGAAGTCCATGCATGCAGCTTGTTTGTTCATGAAACAAGAAGATTGATCACAAGGATCCAAAGAGGTGAAGAAAGAAGAGATCAAAAACGCTAATAGAAAGCCACAGGTGAAGAGAAGCGAATATGTGAAGGGAAGAGATATAGTTAAAATTTATCCAGAGAAAGGAAGTGTGAAAGAAGTGAAGATGAATAGAGGGCCCAAACACAAGAGTAAAGTAAAACAGATTACCACGCTCAAGTCTTTTGCTTTTTCCGATCCTCAATTGCCAAACACCGACACAAACACCAAACACCCTATGAACTAAAAATTTCAGGCCCAAGGAGCAATTAAGGTACCGAAAGATGAGAAGAAGGTAAAGGATGAAAACATGATCGCTTGGAAAGAGGGTATCTCAAGCAACAGCTAGTAATGTCACGAATCTTGTTCAGGGCTGACGCTGCAGCGGGGAGATATGTCCCACGAGGCTCATAACAGACTCATCATAGCACTCCGCCGGGTAAATTGATCTGTGCCTGCCTGCTTTCAAATCCGGCACTGTTAGGCACAGGATTGACTGGCGGATAGCTGCTTTCCACAGGGTGTTGGAGTTGTTTTCGCAACATGAACATCGGTTTCCGTCCCTCCTTTTCCAGCTGCTTGAAGAGAATGAGCGGCTTCTCATCCAAGCCCAAACAACGTTCCTGGTCGCCATACACAATATACAGTGCGTATTGCTTCCAGTCGGCATTGATATTGTACTTCTTCAAGGCAGCGGGAAGAACCTTATAGCAGGGATCCTCCATGGAGACACGGAATGACTTGAATATTTCCACGCTTGGTGGGTCACCGCCATTACCAGCTCTGGAATCTGACCGGGTCGGGATATCGGGGCGGTTTGGTTGTGTTGGTGTAGGATTCAAACGTTCACGGGTTTGTGTTGTCGAGGCGTCATCGTGGTGGTCGTAGGGACTGCGGCTAGTGTTGGGGGTGGGTTGATATGATCGAGACCCCAACGTCTGCGCAGCGGTATAGTGGACACCCGGAGAGGTGGGAGACGGGATCCCCGGGGACAACTGCGACTTTCCATTGGTGTAGAGCGCCGATGAGGGGTCTAACACGCCATTGTCGTGATACATACGGCCTTCATGAATTGAGGGTGGGATATGAGTGGGGGAATTGTTCTTGGGGGTGGTGCCCCCTGTGTGAAGTCTTTTGGAGATTTGTCGAGAGAGGGTAGCTGAGCGGTCCAGGAGAGTGATCCCGGAAGGCGACACTAGCGTCTGCTGACTATCGTGGTATCCGTCTGGGCCCGAACTGGCCATGGATGTGGGAGGGGGCAACGGCTGCGAACGGTCCTTGGCCATCTTGAAAACCGGCAAAAGCTCCTCTCTCAGCCGACGATAGTCCTCCGCCATGCGGCGCAGCTCGGACTCGACGGTGACGATTCGTTCATCTCGCAACCGAATGGACTGGATCAAACGTGCGACATCTTCCTGTGAAGCCGTTTCATTCATACTTTGGTCCGCCGCTGTCAAGACAAATGGAGATTAGCAAGGCGGAACTGGGAACCGTCCAACATGACTTCCCACACGGGAGTGGACATACAAAGAGGAATGTAATGGTCTGCATCTAGCGGAATATCTTGTTTCACCTTCGTTTCATAGACACTCTTGAGGATCGTTAATCGATGCCCCACGCTAGCGATCCCCATTTCCTTCAACTCATCATGTTTCAGAGCAATAAGCGCTTCCCCAACGATCTCGTTTTCTGCCAGACATCAGTGGACGGTTCTTTCCCCACTCCTCTTTCTAGGCAGTCGAACTCACCGAGGAAGGATTGGCAATATTGACGGAGACCGAGGGCGGCAAGAAAGTGGGCACATTCTTCGGCTGTCCATTCGGAGATGATGGTACTGGGGGATTTAGGGTGTTCGTCGGCATTTGCAAATGTGGTCGGGGTCTGCTCGGAAGAGGGGAAGTCGGATTCAGAGGGAGACGCCTCAGAGTCGGTGGCCAGGTGGGGGGAAGTAATGACACTGCGCTCGTACTCGTCGTCTGCATCGGAGTCGGCGTGGTAGGATGTATGGAGAGACATGGTGAAGGCGAGTGATTCCTCGAGGAAAGGACCGACACGACACAACGAAGGGGTCGGAGGGGACGTCGGCCCGGTGGGGAGGCAGAGACGAAGACGGGGAAGAAGACGACGGTATATTCAGCAGTGGGATAATGAGTATTGAGATCGATGATTCACGGTCGCAATCGAGATCAAGATCAAATAGGCAGCTGAAGAAGTCTCAGCCAAGAAAGCGTGCCACATGGACGGGACGAATGGCGGTTACGGGGCGGCTGGGGGGGGG